TACACTTACCGGGAGTGTGTGTATATTAGGAAGCAGAAGTTAAGTAGTGCTGCGGCTGCTCCGATTCCTGTCCTGCAAATAGAATAAAAATCAGTTTGTTACAAAACTGTTTCTTTATTGGATCAAGAAACATTACATGGTACCAGGAGTGGTGATGATCACCAACACCCAGAGTCGTCATGGAAAGTGTTAAACCGCCTGACGCTGTGAACTGGACGGGGAATATTGATTGTGAATGGAGAACTTTTAAACAAAGATTTACGCTCTACCTGCAAGCAGTGGGCCTTGATGAAGCATCAGATGCATGTAAAATTGCACTGCTACTCACCGTCGCGGGACCTCAATCTATAGAGGTGTTTAACACGCTCGTGTTTGAACAGGCCGAAGATAAAGGCAAATACCACGTAGTAATTGAGAAGCTTGACTCACACTGCTCGCCGAAAAAGAATGAGACTTTTGAAAGGTATGTTTTTCGTTCTCGTCTGCAGCAACGGAGAGACTTTTGACAGTTTCATAATAGATTTGAAGTTGAAAGCAAGGACATGCAATTTCGGACAGTTGCAAGATTCAATGATTCGTGACCAAATTGTGTTTGGCATCAATGATAAAAAAGTGAGGGAGATGCTCTTGAGAGAGACAGAGCTTACCTTGAATGAAGCTGTGCGGATATGTCATGCCAGTGAGATAGCTCTTCAGCATGCTAAAACTTTTTATGAAACCGCAAAGACTAGTGGAAGTGACAGTTCAGTTGTAGCTGCAGTAACAGAGAAGATGCAGAGATGCGGAATGAGTAAAGTGAAACAACAAAAGGAGAAAGAACTGTTTAACTGCAAGAGATGTGGCAGAAAACACTTGCCGAAGCAGTGCCCAGCCTACGGCAAAGGCTGTGCCAAATGTAAAGGGCAGAATCATTTTGCCAAGCAATGCTTTTCCAAAGGGAGACAGAGTCAAAAGGAGCATGTACATACAGTGGAAGAAACATTGTATTGTGCCAGCACAACAGAAGGCTCATGGATGGCCTACAGCGAGTACAGAAGTATGGGCTGAAATTGAATAAGGACAAATGTCAGTTTGGAGCAAAGGAAATAACGTTTCTAGGAGACAAGCTGTCAGAAGGGGGTGTGGAATCAGATAAGAGTAAAGTACAGGCAATACTCAAAATGCCCAGACCCACAGACAGAAAGGCTGTACTAAGAGTGATGGGGATGATCAACTTCGTCGGAAAGTTCATACCAAACTTCAAAAAGAAGACCTCGAGTCTTCAAAAACAGTGTACTTGAGAGAACTGTTAAGTGACAAAGGCGAGTTCAAGTGGACAGCTGATCATGAACAAGAATGGGGACGACTGAAGACTCTCCTCACCTCAGAGCCTGTGCTGACATTCTTTGACCCATCAAGAAGGACAAAGATATCCACAGATGCATCCAAAGATGGACTGGGTGCAGTTTTATTGCAGGCGGAGGGAGACAATCGGAGGCCAGTTGCATATGCCTCAAGAACGATGACTCCGTCTGAATGTCGATACGCACAGATAGAAAAAGAATGCTTGGGCTTGGTGTATGGAGTGAAAAGATTTCATAGCTATGTGTACGGGTTACCGACATTTGTGGCAGAGACTGATCACAAACCATTAATTGCTATCATTAAAAAGAACCTGAATCAAATGTCTCCAAGAATTCAGCGGCTGATGATGCGACTGCAGAGGTATGACATGGAGCTGGTTTATACTCAAGAAAAGTACATAGTTCTGGCAGATGCTCTGTCCAGAGCTGCAATACAGAGTGGAAAACAAGCTGAAAGCTCCACAGACGCTGAGGTGACTCATCATGTGAATATGGTAGCTGAAACCCTTCCGGTCACAGACACAAAGCTCAAGCAAATTGCAGTGGAGACTGAGAAAGACAGATGTTTGCAGCAGGTCATTACACATTTGAATGATGGCTGGCCTAGAGGAGAATGTGCCAAGTACTACAACATCAGAACAGAGCTAAGTGTGGTCAAGGGACTTCTGTTGAGACAGAACAGGATCGTTATCCCTCAGTCACTGCAACAAGAGATGTTGAAAAAACTGCATGAGGGGCACCTTGGAGCAGAAAAATGTAAAAGAAGGGCTAGAACTGCAATCTATTGGCCCGGAATAAATGCCGACATTGATCGGATGGTGTCAACCTGTAATACTTGTTTGAAGCATCGTGCTAAGCAACAGAAGGAGCCAGTGATTGTCATTGATCCACCAGATGAACCATGGCAGAAAGTTGGGACTGACTTATTTTTCCTGGATGGACAGAACTACTTGCTTGTGATAGACTACCTGTCAAACTATCCAGAGATAGCGTTGCTTCCCAGTACATCTGCAGCTGGTGTGGTTACACATATGAAATCCATCTTCGCGAGACACGGCATTCCACAGGTGGTTTGCAGCGATAATGGGCAATGCTACAGTAGCAAAGACTTCCAGAAATTTGCTGAGGAGTATGGGTTTCAACATGTGACATCAAGCCCATTATATCCGCAGTCGAATGGAAAAGCAGAGAAAGGAGTATCCATAGTGAAGTTACTGCTCAAGAAAGCAGTAGACTGTCGATCGGATCCTTATTTAGCGCTGCTGAATTACCGTGCTTCTCCACTAGAACATGGTGTGTCTCCTGCAGAAATCCTGATGGGGCGCAGATTACGGACCACACTTCCTTGCTTAGCATCACCAAACAAGAACAAATACCTAAAAAGGAAACAACAGGACCTGAAACAGCGACAAAAAGCAAATTATGACAAGGCATCAAAAGGCCTAGAACCACTCTCCAATAATGACACAGTAAGACTTGAGGATCACAGTACCTGGTCTAAAAGAGCCACAGTCCTGGATGAGGTGAACCCAAGATCTTACACTGTCAGGACAGAGGATGGTCAAATCCTGAGGAGAAATCGGAGGAGTCTGTTGAAAACAAAAGAGACAGTACTGGTGGATACTTACACAGAGGACACAGACTCTGCAGTATCACAAAAAACATCTGAAACGCTTCCAGTACTGGATGACAACCAACTGAGGATATGCATTCACCAGTACTGCGAAGATCAAAACGCACAGTGAAGCCCCCTGATAGACTTACCCTGTGAATAATGCTCAAGCATAACAAGTATTTGAGTTAAAAGAAAAAAAAAAAGGAAATGTAATGTTGATTATTACTGCACAATGTAAATAATTATTGAGACTGTAATATGTTGTATTAAGTCTTATAATTTGTACACTGCTTGCTTAATGGTTGTTTCATTTAATTGTTTAATCTATAAGTTTGCATAATTACTTGGAATAACTTTAGATTCTTTACATCTAAAGGAAAGGGGATGTAGTGATAGAATGTATTTGTATTTGACAATGCTAAAACTAACCACGAGGTGTCAGTAGTATTACACTTACCGGGATCTTCTTTATGCACCAAGAGCTTGTAACACTCCAAAGAGAAAGGAAAAATTGAAATCGCATCATATGACCCCTTTAAAAGGTTTTCATGCATACTTTGGAACACATGTAAAAAGCCATATGTAGCCACTGGGTGACACCCACACTCCATTATTTTTTTTTATTTATTTATTTATTTATATGTGTTCTCTTCACAAATTAATACAGAATCAAGAACGGCTTAGAGGTTAGGACGATTCCAAGGGCCCCGAGAGACAGCCCCACCCCCCAAATTTCAACCTAACAATATAATTATGATCCAGCACATAATTGCATCAACATTATTACTAAAACGGAGTAATGTATATTATCACTTTTGGTTTGTTTACTGCGGTGTTTGTAAAGCATACGCATTTGTAAAACTTCTTAAAATATAAAAGACAATCCCATCATAAGAATCTGGAAACCAATTTTGGTACTGTGCACTATTCTTTGTAAATGAGCTTTAAAACAATGGGGGTTTTATTTGGTTACAAGTGAGTGAACTGAAATTAAAAATAAATAAAACTTATGAATGTTATAAAAACAAATGCATTGTGTGAGATTAAGTTTGAACTTGAACATTCTTTGAACTTCAGATAAAAGTTCATTCTTTTAGGCTCTCAGTGCCCAAGTAACAGTTCCAAGATCCCTTATGAGGGCCACCACAAGATGGAGACATTCACTGGAAAATGTTATATTTTATGAGCTCCAAGTAAGATTAATGCAGTTTTTATTAATGTAGTTATTTGCAACTTGTCTGATCACTAAAATGGGCACCTTATGCTTTTTACACCAAAGGAAATATGAAATACCCAGGAAAAAAAAAAAAAGTGTTAAAAACACTGATCGAATAGAGAACATAGTTGTTAACTTTGGTGTTAGCTTAATATTAGAATGGAGGGACAACAACAGTTGTTGTGATCTGATGTGGCTTCTTATCACAGACTGAGGCAGAATTATTTTTGTTATAGTATTCTATACTGTTATAAAAGCTGAGTCATTTAACATTGTATTATAAATATACTTTATACTTATGAAAATACCCGAGATTGCGCAAGCAGAAAAACTTATAACAGATGAACTGTCAGCAAACGTCTGTTTATTGTCTTCATATATTGCATTGTATGGTATATATTGTATATGGTAATACTCTGGTATTGTTTTCAAGTTTCCTGCAGGCCATATATGCGCTGTATATAGTATGAGTTACTGTAATGTGTATTATGTTAGGAGTGGTGAACATTTCCATCTGAAATTGAAGCATATAGTTCTAATATATCTATAGGAATAACCTTCATGTGTATGTAAGTTGCAGCCACAAACACCATAAACACACATTTACAGATAAGAACACTCACACCGACATATTGTAAGAATACAGATTTAATTCAAAACATTAAAAACCTTTATTCCTGGTTTCAGATACACCACAGCTTTACAGATAATTATATTTCAACTGGTCAGTTTATGAAACAGTTTTGCAGTGCCTCTCACCCCGAAGATGTCGCCCAGCTCTGCTGTGAGCAGTTCCTTGAGCTCGCCTTTGGTCAGGGTGTTTTTGTCTCCCTCCTTTCCTGAGTATTTGTGAAAGGCTGCAATCAGCATAGCCATTCCTTGTTGGATTTCTGTGAAATTAGTGTGATACAAAGCAGGTGTATCATAAATAATAATAATAACAACAATCAAACAAAACTCATTGTTTACGACATCCAAAATCATTAGTAGTGGAGATGTCAAAAGTACAATATATGAAATATCATGCCCAGCAACAATATAACACACAGAACTGGTTACAGCCCTCTGGAGAAGGAGTCGACCTTAACTGTCTGAAGAGTGGGAGTTTTCAGAAAAGGAGGGATAAAAAAAACGACAGTTTTAAGCACAATCGGATTATGGCCAACACCCTACATACCCTTTAATTAAAACAGAATAGAGAGACAGAAAGAAAGAGATCTACTTGATTTCATCGACCATCAACTGCCTCCTTTTCCTGCCTCTGCTTTCTTCTCAACACAAACTGTTCTTAAACTATTCTACTAATCAATTAATGGCTGAAAAACATATAACATATACATATAAACTAAACTACCCTTCAAAGATTGCCATCAATCTACAAATTTTGAACCCATCAAACTCTTATAGCGCAGCAGTGAGATGCATCAGTTTATTTTAAGCAGTAAAACAATTCAGTAAAAAAAAATAAAGAGTCTCTTACGTGACATGGTGTTTCTGGAGTTCACGGCGTACAAGAAGTGAAATAAAATGGGACCGAGCGAGTAAGAACTGAAGGAACAGACTGGGTGTTATATACAGAGAAATGTCACGCCCCCAAATTCATCCCCTCCCACCATCCCAACCCTTAACACAAACGCACCAACATTTATGTCCCTCCCTCTTACTCTTACTATGCTCTCTCTCTTATTGTTCACTCCCTTAAACCACAAAAAAGGGGCAGGAGGTAGAGGCATCTCTTGTCCTTGTTTAGTCCTTAACTCAGCTGGCTAAACCAGCTTCTAACCGAACACCAACAGCCAAAAAGTTTATTGCTGATTATTTACTGTCTCGTCGTGCCTAACAACGCCCCTTAGCTGCTCTAAAATCCCTGCAAACCACAGCTTCTTGGGGTTCTACTGCTTTAATAGTCGCCAAATGAAGAGTTGAGAGCTGGATGTTCTTCACTGACATATCGAAATAACACGACGTGCACAGAAAGACGATGTCTTCATCAAATCTTCCTAACAATACACTTTTGATCGTGCATGATTTGGCTTCTTATCATAGATTATTAAATAATTTCAAACACATTTCATGTAATTTAAACACTCTAATACTGAAATTTGAATAGAACTGGGACAAAAGAAAACGAGTCATTGAGGCACTTCCATAACATTTCTGCAGTTTTATACAAAGAGGTACAAAAAGTGTCACTGAGGTGGTAAATTTTCAAAAGGTGCTTTATTTACCCCTAAAGGGTGCACATTGGTACCTTAAGGGTACATAATAGTATCTAAAGTGTGCATATTCGTACCTTTCAAAAGGGCACCGCCCCAGTAATAGCTTTTCTGCTTTTTTCTGGGAGTTTATAAAGCTGGGAATCTCAACTCTGGCCCTCGGGGTCCACCTTCCTGCAGAGTTTAGCTCTAAACCAAATTAAACACACCTGAACAAGCTCATCAAGGTCTTCAGGATCACTAGAAAGATATAAGCAGTCATCAGTTGACAACCCTTGGATTACAGTAAGTCATACTATACAGTGGGTACGGAAAGTATTCAGCCCCCCTTAAATCCCCAGTAATAGCTTTTCTGCTTTTTTCTGGGAGTTTATAAAGCTGGGAATCTCAACTCTGGCCCTCGGGGTCCACTTTCCTGCAGAGTTTAGCTCTAAACCAAATTAAACACACCTGAACAAGCTCATCAAGGTCTTCAGGATCACTAGAAAGATATAAGCAGTCATCAGTTGACAACCCCTGGATTACAGTAAGTCATACTATATACAGTGCATATATGGCCTGCAGGAAACTTGAAAATAATGCCACACCACACAAACAAGGGCCTCACATGCATTATTGAGAGAGAGAAATTTATATTTTTGTAGTAAATGTCATGACTTTGACATAGTTTCTTTATTCAAGGGATTCTTAACTCTGGCCCTCGAGGTCCACTTTCCTGCAGAGTTTAGCTCCAACCTTGATCAAACTCACCTGGCTGTATCTTTCTAGTGTAATATGACAATTCATTGTATGTACGTATTATGTTAGGAGTGTCGGTGGTAGGTGAACATTTCCATATGAAAATGAAGCATAGCTCTAATATATATATATAGGAATAACCTTCATGTGTATGTAAGCTGCAGCCACAAACACCATAAACACACATTATAAGAACACTCACACCAGCATATAAGAATACAGATTTAATTCAAAACATTAAAAACCTTTATTCTTGGTTTCAGATACACCACAGCTTTACAGATAAACCCTTTCTGTAAGGACAAGATCATTTTTTTGTGAAAAACTCATTGCAAAGCATAGTGATGCAGGCGACCAAGGTGACGTACTCCTGGAAGTCCACAGTGCCATCTGCATTTGCATCCAGATCCTTAAAAATCTTGTCCAGAGCTGTCTTGTCTTTAGTTTCCTGTAACAAACACAACATGCACAAAAGCATAATCAGACACATGTTCAGTACAGTGATGTGAATTAAACACCACATATTTACATCAGCATTAGCTCACAGTATATTTATTATGAGAATTTATACAAAAGAATTAACTTTTTTTTTTTTAATAATGTTATTTCATTAAAAAATAATAATTATAAAAGGGAGCGATTTTAATACCTACTTTTAAATGAAGCATTTTTAATTAAAATATCATAATGAAAAGAGAAATTATATTTCAACTGGTCAGTTTATGAAACAGTTTTGCAGTGCCTCTCACCCCGAAGATGTCGCCCAGCTCTGCTGTGAGCAGTTCCTTGAGCTCGCCTTTGGCCAGGGTGGTTTTGTCTCCCTCCTTTCCTGAGTATTTGTGAAAGGCTGCAATCAGCATAGCCATTGCTTTCTGGATGTCTGTAAAATTAGTGTGATAGAAAACAGGTGTATCATAAACAATAATATTAATAGTAATAAAACAACATTATTAGTAGTGGAGATGTCAAAAGTACAAAATATTAAATGTCATGCCATGCAACAATATAACACACAGAACTGGTTACAGCCCTCTGGAGAAGGGGTGGACCTTAATTGTCAGAAGAGTGGAAGTTTTCAGAAAAGGAGGGATAAAAAAATGACAGTTTTAAGAGCAAGAGGATTATAGCCAACACCCTGAACATACCCTCAAGACAGAAGAGAGAGACAGAAAGCGATTTTTGTTATTGATCATTTCATCCACCACCAACTGCCTCTTCTTGCTGTTTTCCCAACACAAACTCTTAAACTATAGCCTTAAAATTAAGAGCGATTTTAATACCTACTTTTAAATGAAGCATTTTTAATTAAAATATCATAATGAAAAGAGAAATTATATTTCAACTGGTCAGTTTATGAAACAGTTTTGCAGTGCCTCTCACCCCGAAGATGTCGCCCAGCTCTGCTGTGAGCAGTTCCTTGAGCTCGCCTTTGGCCAGGGTGGTTTTGTCTCCCTCCTTTCCTGAGTATTTGTGAAAGGCTGCAATCAGCATAGCCATTGCTTTCTGGATGTCTGTAAAATTAGTGTGATAGAAAACAGGTGTATCATAAACAATAATATTAATAGTAATAAAACAACATTATTAGTAGTGGAGATGTCAAAAGTACAAAATATTAAATGTCATGCCATGCAACAATATAACACACAGAACTGGTTACAGCCCTCTGGAGAAGGGGTGGACCTTAATTGTCAGAAGAGTGGAAGTTTTCAGAAAAGGAGGGATAAAAAAATGACAGTTTTAAGAGCAAGAGGATTATAGCCAACACCCTGAACATACCCTCAAGACAGAAGAGAGAGACAGAAAGCGATTTTTGTTATTGATCATTTCATCCACCACCAACTGCCTCTTCTTGCTGTTTTCCCAACACAGAAACTGTTAAACTATAGCCTTAAAATTAATAAAAGAAATATCGAACAATCAATTAACAGTTGAAAAACATTTAACATGTATACACCCTAAACTCGGCTTCAAAATATCAGGAAATGAAGGCTGCAAAAACGCAGGAGATCTACACATTTTTTAATCCATTAAACTCATAGAATACAGCAGTAGTGCAGCAGTGAGATGCAATAGTTCATTTGAACCAGTAACACATTTCAGTAAACAAAATAAAAAGTCTCTTACCTGACATGGTGTTTCTGGAGTTTAAGGGAAGCAAGAAGTGCACGAAATTGAGAGCCAAAGATGAGAACTGAAGGAACAGATTGAGTGTTATATGCAAACACCACACCCAAAAATTCATCCCCTCCCACCATTCCAACCCTTGACACACAAACGCACCTGTGCTAACTTTTCTTTGTCTTACTCTGCCCTTTGCTCTCTCTCCTATTGTTCATCCCCTTACCATTTAAATTCTTGTTTACTTAATTATCGAGTTTGCAAAAAAAGAAACAGGTGGACTTGGCATCTCTTGCCATTGGGAAGTCTGTAACTCAGCTGGTTAAACCAGCTCCTAACCGCACACAAACAGCCAAAACCTTAGAATTGAGCCTTTGGGCAATTCCACTGTCAAGACCTGCCCCTGACTGAACGTGCAAGTTGGATGTTTCTGAGAACCACTTTAGTGAAACTGCATGGAGCCACTGAAAAAATTCTATACTACAAAAATGTCTAATAGTGGTTATGTTAAAAACTCAAATTGTGAAAATTTGTAAGGCCTAATCATTTATGCATGTTTATGAATGTTTCCTGGCATACAAAACTGCTCAAGTTGAATGAAAATAGTCTTTTGCAAAACTCTGTGGTATGATACAGGTGGGCTGTAACTCTTTTTTTACTAAAATGAGACAGAGATGAGATTAGAACTGACCAACTGTGGCTGGTTGCATACACTGCTTTACATTCGTCTTACAGCTTATTTATCTCATTATATTTTCCTTATGACTGCATAATTTTTTTTAAAGTTAGTTACATAAAAACGTTTTATTTGAATCCAAAAAGAAAAAAACTGATTACCCCTTTGGTTAACTGCTAGACAAGTTCTTAGACATAGTCTTAACATAGGCTGTGTTTATACAACTGGTCTAGTGTAATTTTTGACATGTACTGTAGCTACAGGGTGCAAAAACCATTATTAGGTAATAAAATCTCACACTGGATTTATGTCATTAATCAGAAAAAGATTCCATGAATATACTGCCTTACATTGTGTTGAAATCATAATGGAGCCACTCCAGCAGTCATAACCAGTCCTGCATGGTTTAAAAACACAGGGTAATTGTCTAGTATTCTAAGCAATGCTAAAAGGCAATAATAGAGACTATATGTTTGCTTATTGTAGTCATGCATGGTTTGTAAAAAAAACTAGGTAAAGCTGCTTACTGCACTAAATGTTGTGGAAGATCAACAACAACAACAAACAATGCCTGTTTGCATGTTTGTGAGTTTTTAATGCATCACAATGCTTCATGGGAAGGAAGTTATGCAAAAAGCAGTCAATTTTGCAAGAGCATTTTAGATTCATAAAGATTCAATCTGCATCTGAAGGTGCAATATCATCATATTTTACTCTTCTCCACACTGTCAAAAAAAAAAAAAAAGGCACTAAAAGATTTTCACTGGGGCAGTATACTCTCAAATATACATCTTTGTACCTTAATCGATCCTTAAAGGGTGCATATTAGTATCTTAAATGTACTCACTCTTATGCTGTTCCAAAGATGGCTTTCTTTCTTCTGCAGAACACAAAAGAAGATATAGTAATACAGAGAGACAATACATCTGCTTATTGTAGTCATGTATAGTTTTTAGAAAAACTACGTAAAGCTGCTTATCTGCATACATGTTGTGGAACATCAAAAAACAAAAAGTATTAATTGCATGACTGACATTGTGATGCTTAATGGGAAGCATGTTATGATATTTTAGTATTTTATTTTGTGAAGTCCATTTTGCAAGAGCATTAACTTTCATTTTATGAACATAAACAGCTGAAACTTCCTTCAAGACATCTTCAAGAAAGGTGCACCATCCCTCTAAGGTATTAATATCCACACTTTAGTACTGTGCAAGTAACAAAATGTTGTACCAGTGCATGTGTACAGTTTTGTACATATTTTTTTTTCTGACAGTGCACTGCCAAACAAAACTACAGAAAATACTCCATAAGGACAGAAACCAGAGATACTGGACAGAAAAAATATGCAAAAACAGCATGCATTCTGCTTTTGAATGCTGGTTCACTAGGTGGCACAGTATAAGATATTATCCTGTATTATAGCTGTGGAAGGGTGAACTTAATCACTATTTCCGTGATGATGATGTGTGTTGTTGGGTGTATGCTAGTTGTAGTTTTTAATTATTAGCTACACACTGCTGAAAAAGTAAATAAAGAAAATAGAGAGAATAAAGGGAAAAGGAAGGGTGAGTGAAGATGAATAGTAAAGAACATGTGAAAAGCATTTAAGAGGACTAGTATTTCAGGACCAGTGACGAAGACAGAGATGGAAATTAGAGAAGTCAGGGAGGGAAAAAGAAAAAAAAGGCGGCGGTGGAGATGACTGGCCTTATTCAACCTCTTTCTTTATGTAATACTGTGATGGTGACTCA